TTTAATACATCTCCACTGCATGTGACATTTATACTCAGAGTGACGCTCACAGCAACAGTGAACAACATGAGCTAATGTTAGCTTACAAATCAAGTCCACTAATCGCTAAAGTCACCAAACAAGCAGAAGATCAACTCAAACCCACATAAGGAAACAAACTAGAAACTGATGTGGCTTTACACAGGATACATATAGCTGCTGTAGCTGTGTCCCGAAGCCTAGGCTGCATCCTTTGGAGGACCCGGCCTTCCATGTTTGGAGCAGCCTTCGAATTGGGACCGCCTTCGTCGCCTGGCTGTGATGTAATCGGCCTACAAATGCAGCCTCAGTTTTGGGACACAGCTTGTAATCATTTATCTCTATTAGCAGTTAAATGTCACGGTCTGCAGGGCAGACTGAGTGAAGGTGTGTGGACCCAGGCGCAGACACAGGCGAGGAGATGGGAGTAACTTTAAACAAGGGCGAGCCTTTTATTATGGCTGAATAACAAGAGTACAAAACAAAAGCTACAATGAGAACAGTGGCGAGGGCTAAACCAAAACCTAAAAATGACTGTGAGCACGACTCGTACAGGTGCATGAAGAAACTATGAATTACATGAATTCGCTAACATGACATGCATGAACTCCTCCACCCGCTCCACTTAACCTGAGGGTGGAACACAGACAACGCTGACAAACACGGGCTTAAATACACTGAGGATAAGGAGGGGAACGAGGCACAGGAGAGCACAGCTGGGAGTAATCAGACAGGACAAGACCAAGGTGAGGCAAAACTCAATACATTGACAGAGGACACAGACTTTCAAAGTAAAACAGGAAACATACCAGACGCAGACTTGACTAGGGGATAAAGCTGACGGGGAGACAGCAACCACGAGGAAGCCACATAACAAAACCAAAAACTAGAACTGAAGAAACACTAAAAGACTAAGGAACTTAACACTAACATTAACACTAACTTAACACCATGTGAAGAAACCAAAAGTACAAAACTCAAAAACCACTGGGTCACCAACCCAGCACCATGACATGAAATTAATGTTTGCTAACATTAGCCAGCAGAAGCTCCATGAAGATGACTGTTACCCATCCTTCTGCTAACACTGAAAAGCTGCAAGGTTTGACTTTGGCTAATTCACCCTAGCTGGTCATGTTCAAATTATTTTAATCAGTTAATGTTAGCCATAATCACTAAAGTTATATAGCGTAGCTAAGCTAAAGCTAGCTGGCTAAATATAACATTCTGGTGAAAAAGTCATACCTGAGCAGAAATGCTAGTTGGCTGTAATGTTCTTATTCTTCTATGAATAAAACATCAAGAATTGCTCCTGGTGCTAGCTTCAGCTAGCTGTTTATTGTTTTTTCTACAGCGATCACTTTCTTCTTCTATTCTGTATATCTTATTGGTTACAGAGCGCCCCCTGTGGATAGCTTCAACAATAACAGCTATCATTACATTGGCTAGCTCGCCAAATTACTTCAGCAACTAGCGTGACTGTGATACTAACTTCTGTTAAACAGTTTTTCTTTCAGCATCACTAAATCACATCATTTATCTTCTACAGCAATAGCTAACATGGGGGGAGTTAGCCTGCTAGCTGACATTGTTCAAATATTTTGCTCTGAAGAGGAAAATGACAACATCATGCTGCGGTACATTAGGACTAAAACACTCTGTGGGGGGTATTTTGTGTTCTCGCTCACTCTGAAATGACTGAAAAGTGCTCAGCTGTCAGCGTGTGATGGTCTGAACTGTGGGATTAGCAGAACATCCTGATCTGCTGCCTTCCACTTTGAGAAAGTGGCATTACATAATGACATTTCCAGCTGAGTGGGGCGATACAGGCGTTCATCTACGTGACTGCACGAATCAGAAGAAATCTGCGTGTGGGTGTACACCGGGATTAAAGCGGCACTCGACCCAAAGAGCCAGCAGTCACATCTCTGTATGAGGGACCTGATGTTTTCAGGCTGCAAGAGGACGTCAGGATTAACAGATAACGCACGCCAGCGGCCTTAAATCATGAACGAAGTTTAAAATGTTTTGCAGGAATTAGAAATATTTATCCTCGCCCTGAAAGGGAAGATTCAGCTTATAATCAAAGTCTCTAAAATGGCTTGACATCAGTTGTTTAACCCCTAAAGCTTCCTCACCTGTGCATAATCACCCACAAAGTGGTCCTTCGTTTCCATTAACAGGGCCCCTTCACTTAATGAGCCATTCAGTGTGATTGGCAGGTTAATGCACACCTCTGCTGAACGAGTTCATTCTTCTCCTGAAGGCTTGCACTGCTTCCACAGATGACAGTGAGAAGAACGAATGAGTATAAATGAGAAACTATCTCACTGCTGGTTACAGCCTCCTCACTGCTGCACAAAATGTTTCCTTCTGTACATTTTGTCCCAGAAACGTTGGTGTGAAATAAGATTAATGTGAGACAGTGTCAGAGGCGGAGAGAGATGAAGTGTTGTTAGCTGTAGGCTGAGTATAATCTGGGCTGCAGGTTAATCAACAAGAGTCCCAACAAAGATCCAAACCAGAGGAAAGGTGGGACACACCTGAGGAGCTGACAGGTAAACGTGGAACAGGTGGCAGCTACGGTGGCCCTGAAATGTCAAACACACTACAACTTCAGAAAATACCAGCAAATAGAAAAATGCTACAAAAGCATACAAAACAGAAAGGACGCTGAATAAAACACAACAGCCATCGTGTGATTTAAACACACGATGGCTGTTGTTTTATTTTTATTAAACTTTTATTAAACTTCAGTGGTGTTTTGTATTTCTTTATTTAACCTGTCCTGTCCCACGAGGAGCACCGCGGACTCTCTGTAGGCTCCCCCTGTTAATGTTTTTATTTTAATGATTTTATTTCATTATTCAGATTATTTTGTTTGTTATGCTGGAGCAGACGGGGGTGAAAGATGAGAAGAAAGGAGAGAAATGGAAAAACAAACAGGAGAGAAAAGAGAAGAAAGCTGAGGGTGAAGTAAACAGGACGGGTCACTGAGCTGTGTCAGATACAACATGCTGGAATAAGCACTGTGATCACACTCAGATGTATATTTACTGACATTTATTATGAAAGGGTTCAAAGGAAGTGATCTGTGCCTGTCCTCCTTTCAGCTGACAGGAAGCTCACAATGAAGACAAAATACTTTAAACTGTGGAGATAAACCAAGCTTCGTCCTGGGCAGACGACGGTGCATGACCTTTGACCTTTGCAGCTGTCTGTGTGCCTCGGGCTGATCGGGGAGCTGACAGGACGCTTCATACAAACTGCAGTCAGGGTTTAGGTTCTCCACCCAGGACTCCATCCCTCCATCAGCAGCCCGAGGCTCTGAGGACCTCTGCTGGAGAAGGTGAGGCATTACAGCTGCCACTACATCACACCAGAAGATTCAAAACGTTCCTCATATTTTTATTGGTTCATACTCATTCTGAAGATCTTTCCTGCTCCAGCTTATTGGAGAAACTGATTGTTGATTAAAATTTCAAATCACACTTAGAAAAAAGGGGATTGTTTTCTCCCTGTTTACACATTAGCAGTGGAGGTGCTGCCTCCTGGTGGTCATCGGCCATCTGAGCTTTTGTGGAGGTTTTTCTAATGGCCATCGAGGACACATGAACTTTACATCAAACCACAAAAGAAATGATCCTCGTGTCCACAGGAGCACATTTGAATAATAACTTTATTTGTATGAGACTGGATGAGTCACACAGGTTTAAATGAAGCATAAATCATCTTCTCTTCATCTTTTAGTACAAATACATCCGCTGATCAACAAGAACTCCAGAATATTCCGGCAACACAAAGAAAACTTCCATGTTTGCCTCTTGTATAAAAAATCTATAAAAATAAATGAATACCCATCCATCTGCTTCTGCTTATCCTTTTCAGGGGCGCTGGAGCCTATCCCAGCAGTCATAGGGCGAGAGGCGGGGTCCACCCTGGACAGGTCGCCCGTCTGTCGCAGGGCCAACACACAGGGACAGACAACCAATCGCACCCACATTCACTCCCGCACTCACACCTATGGGCAATTTGGATTCATCAGTTAACCTATAAATGAATAATTATGCTAAATTAGCTGAAGCATGAATAGACACGTTTAGAAGTGAGGAAACCCTCTTCCTCTCTTTCTTTCAACCTTTCCCGCCCCCAGTCATGTCTGTAATAACTTAAAATAAAATAAAATTAATAAAAATAGTAACAAAGGTTAATCAAACGGACCAATACGGGAAGGCCGTGATGATCCACGTGGTAAAGTAAATCCGTTGGGCATCTTTCTCAACGGGACAGGCAACAAAAAAAAGAAAGAAGAAGAAGTGATGACTCAAACGCTCAGATTACAGAGGACCAAAAGTGCCAAAATAAACAATACATATATAAATATTAAAAATAACTAAAGTTAAAAACAAAAGTTTCATTCTGTAGAACATAAAGTGAAATTCACATATTTAAACACTGATTTATTTTTGGTCATTACTTATAATTTCCCCTCAATAATTTCCATTTAAAACATTTAACATTAACATTTGTATCCAGTCCTTTTTATTATTAATTATATTTAAACTTTAATCATTCCCAAAAATTTTACTTATATTTTTAAAATTTACTTTAATATTTTTTATATTAGTAACTTTATTTTTTCATTTTAATTTTATTTTCACCCTTATTTTTTGTTTCTCTATTTATAAATTATTTAAATTGTTTGGTTTGTATATTTTGATTATGTTTTTACTCATTCATTTTCATATTACTTCTCCATTCCCTTTTATGTTTGTTAAACTCTTATTTGTTCACTGTTTTATTTATGTTTATTGACTGTCTTTTTTAAGGATTCACTTTAGCTTTTATTTTGAAAGAGACCGAGGCAGAGAGCAACACAGAGAGATGACAAAGATGTCAGGATATAAACCGGACCAGATCAACTCGCCCGTTCATCTGGTTTCTGCACCTGTGACTACAGACAAAAGAAGCTGGACATGGACGGTATTTAAACTTGTGTTTATTATTTTGATCATGAGAAACAGAATCAAGGACAGAAAAGGTTTCTGTGAACAGAGAGTCAAACAGCAGGAGGCAGAAAGAGGAACCACAGCAAACAATAAAAAGTTAGAATACAAAAAAAGAAAAGAAAAGAGGGCTTCATGTTGGGGGGGTTACATTCCTCTGGGCCAAACACAGTCATGAAACTAAAGGAACCTGCCCAGGTGTGCTGAGGGTGGGGGAGAACAGGGTGAGACGTGAAATGAAGCTGGTAGGTTAATGCCCATGCATCGCACGCCCCGGCAGGGCACGCCACTGTAACAATATATATGTGTGATATATAAGCTTCAGATTTATGAAAGCATTTCCAAAATACACGGGAAATATCTACGTAGGAAAACAGACTGTACAAGAAGAATAGCTCTGTATAAACATTAAACCCTGTGTATCCATATATCCTGTATACACTGCAGTCTTTTGGTCTGTAGTAAAGAGTGCTGAAGTGAACCCACAGTACAGACGACGCCACGCACCCAAATATACATTCATGTCTCACTCGGCCACCGGGGGGCGTAGCTGAGCTACGTGGGAAACAAAGGTCAAAGTTCACGCCTGAAAGAACCGTCTATTGCACTCAAACGGAGCGAGTTTCCAAAAACATGGCGAAGAAGAATGAGAGAAACTCGTACCGCGTCTCAGCTTATCAGGATGTTTATTTATAATCACCATTTTTTTCTTTTTTTAAAACAGGAACAAGAAAAACAACGCAACCAATCAGAAGTCAAGAAACTGTTTGGACTCTTCCTCACTTCCTGCTAGAGCAGCTTTGCATGATTTACACTTCAAAATAATCTTTACTTATCTTGTACCAGATCTGTTCATAACAAGCCACCTTAGCCCCGCCCATTCTAGACAGGGTTCTTTTGATTGGCTGCCGCTGTAACGCTTATCAAACGTGGTAAAGTTTCAGTTAATTACCTTAATACACGTTGACGTTAAATCCATACGATCAGTCATGTTTGAAAACTGCCACAGCAGGCGTCAGCAGGCTTCCAGAAGCTGGCCAATCAGAAGAGAGGAGGCTTTTAAAGAGAGAGGAGCTGAAACTGGATGCAGTTTCAGCTCCTCTCTCTCTAAACTGAACATGTTTAAAGATTATTAAAGAATAAAAATATAGGAGGTGGAAACGAGCAGAAGAGGGACTTGTTTAACGATAAAGTACCTGAAGAGTAAAGCTCTGACCGACAGCAGGTGTGCTAAATAATTACATTTTTAAATTTGCTCTAAAACAAATTCAAACCTTCACAGAAAGACAAAAACATGACAGCTGAGCATTAATCAGCTGTCAGCGCGGCTTGGTTTGAACACGTCGTAACTTCAACGCGGCTTCATTCGTGCACAAAAAAAATAAGAAAGAGAAGTGAAGGTGAAGGTAAAGTCGTGAAGATGAGAAGCAGGACAGTCGCTGCAGAAACCCCCACGCTCACCTCCATCTTCCTACATTTACCCGAAATAAGCAACAGTGCGAGGCGAACCCTGAAAACACGCCGGATTCGATTTTATTTGAAGAAACAGAAAGAGAAGAGACGAAGATGATGCTGCCGCCAGAAAAGATATCTCCTTTTTATGGAATCAACCTTCCCAAACATTTACTGAACCAGGATGTGAAGACTGTGGCGATGAAGAACGTCTCGATCGGCACAGCAAGGAGCACTCTGACTTCAGGTTAGTTTTTACAGCTTCAAAGTTTCTTCTCATTTGAACCATTTTCTTAGAGTTTGTCCTTAATTTGTTTTTTATTGTTTTAAGATAAATTTAAGTGCATTTTATCTCTTTAATCTTGCTTGTTTTTCGTTGGTGGCGCGCTCAGAGAAACGCTGTCTGAAGCGACCGTCTTTACGCCCGTGCTTGCATTTCTACAGCGCCCGTTTGTTTCTACTTCTAAACCTGAAGCAGCTTTCCTATTGAACACAAACATGAACATGCTAAAGTGAAGGTCAAAGGTCAAAACATGCAGCCAGACCCTTTAAAGTGACCGGACTGGCTGCTGAGCTCCCCTCACCCACTAGGGGGCTCCAAAAACGCGCCCAACCGTGTCTGAACTCCCTGAAGACGCTTACCTCTGATTATCCTCACAAATATAAAAACATTTCCTGCTGTAAAACTTTTGGCATTTTGGGCACTTGTTTAAAAAAGAGAAGTCAGGTTAAAGTTAGTGTGAATGTGAAACAGTGGGCGGGGCCTCAGAGGGCCCGACAGAAAGATTAACAGAGAGCGCGAGCTAAGAGGCAGGAGGCGGTACACATTCATTTACAGGTGTGTTCACACCTGCAGGGGGAGGAGCTGCCAGACATTGGGAGAGCAGGGGTCAGAGGTCAAGTGAGTGTTAGTGGAGTCCATGAGTTCACAGGGCTGAAGACACGCCCCGACAGGTGTGCGACAGGTGTGTGTGTGTAAGAGTTCTGAGTAACGGGCTCGACTCAAACAGGAAGTCATGTGAAGCCAGCGCACGGGAAAAAAACAAAACTATAAATGTGTTGCATCGTGTGTCATTTTACAGCACCAGTGTGGATTCATCCGCCGCTGAAAGTAGTCCCCAGCGAACGCGTTTTAAAACGTTTTGAGGCAGAATCAAAATCAGAGAGGAGGCGTGTCCTCCGTGTTTGATTGGTCCACAGACTAACCTGCCGTGAGTCGAGCCCTTCGGAGCCGTGAGACGAGCTGGCTGGCGGTGTGTGTGTGAACTCTGTACATGTGTGTGTGTCCCGCGCCCTCACAGCGGCCCGTGCTGGGCCTCGTACTTGGCGAGGATGTTCTTGGTGCGCCCGAGCTCTTTCCGCAGGTCGACCACTTCCTGCCTCAGAGCAGAGTTCTCCTTCTCCAGGAAGCTGGCCCGGATGGCGATCTGGTTTTCCTTGAGGCGTCGGGCGTCCCGGGAGCGCTTAGCAGCTAAATTGTTCTTCCTGCGCCGGGCCCAGTATTTGTCATCCTGCTCGAAGAAGAGCGGAAACAGGAAGGATTACTTCAGAGAAAGATGGAAGAACAGCTACATTTACGGATTCATAAAAATAATAATCAGCTTTTTAGCACGTTCAAATTTTGCCTCCCTGAACCTGCCCTCACGCCCACCGCCGCCCCTCCCTGGGTCTGGTGCTGCTGGAGGTTTCTTCCTGTTAAAAGGGAGTTTTTCCTTCCCGCTGTCGCCGAATACTCGCTCATACGAGGCCATCAGATTGTCGGGGTTTACTTTGCTGTATAAAGAGTTGCTGTGATTTAATGATTATTGTGGTACAAAGTGAAACTTCGACATGTCGTTGTTGCAGAAATAAAAACTTCCTATCAAATAAGGTGGTAAACTGACTCTAATCCTGCCTCCATGAATCCTCTCTGAGCTCCACGTTCAGCATCCTTCCTCCAGCACAGCCGCCCTCCCTCCTCTGCACATGTGCAAACCATCTCAGCCTCTCTGATATTTCTGATCGTGACCACGTGAACGCCTCGTGAGCACACAAAGCAGGAGGAAGCGTACACGCTGAGCTTTGTGTGCTTATCTGAGTCCTTGTCTCTGTTTGAAGGACCGAGTGTGGATGACTAAACGCCGCGCACGTTTCCTCCTGCGCTCGCACAGCCGTGTTTCATTTGAACAAATTAAAAGCCAAATCCTCTGAGCCTGACCTCACAGCAACGTCTCCGCTCCCTCATTCACTCTAACATAAGCCTCTTAACCCCGAGACCTCTGCCAGCCAATAGGAGAGCAAGAAGCCAGCTCGTTCTGTCCCAGCGTGCTGTGCAGCTTTAAGCCGCGCCGACTAATCAGCCCTAATGGATCTGCAGGCATTCACATCACATCCAGGAGAACCGGAGTTCCTCTGCTGCTTCACTCAAACATCTGAACTCTGACCTTTTCATTCACGCTGAACTTCTGCTGCTTATTATTCTCTAACCCTCTCTGAACACCGCCACCCTCAGGTCAGACTGGGAATTACAGCGAAATCTGAGCCGCTCATCGGGACAGAACCAACTCCAAGTTACCTTCATTTCGTCCGGGATGAAGACCTTTCGAGCCTTCTTGATCATCGGCTGCGGTTTCAGCTCCTCGACCGAGAACTTGCGCTTGCGCGGGTCGAAGATCTCCTGACCCGGGACGCTGGACAGAGCCAGGTCAGCTGGGTCGGGCTCGTAGCTGACGGGGACCTGGATGGAGTCTGGGTCGATGGGGCTGGAGGTGTTTCTGGAGTTTGGGAGGCCTGAAAGAGAAACAGAGGACGGTTCAGACTGGGGGTCATGTGACTGACGAGTAACACAGAGGGAGACACGAGCAGACAGTTTGACTCTCGTTTGACCTGAGAAAGAATCTAAGAAGTAGATGATGCTGCTCATGTTCAGTTTCTTCAGTCACGCTGTGTCACCCATGACCCCCAGTAACTAATGAAGTCTGTGGTGCTGGTGTAACTGACTGGGCTGATCAGACTCACTGGGTTCAAACTGGTCCTGAGGAGATGACACATGGGCTCCATTTATGAAACCTGTAAGAAGAGTCACAGTAACAAACAGCTCGAGTGTGGTGAAGTGTAACGGCTTCACTTCCTGTTAGGAGTCATGTGACTGCAGATAACGAGAGGCAAAGGTTCTGAATATAACTCACTGCTTTCTTATCTGATGTGGGCGGGGCCTAAAGCCAACGGCTGCAGGTAAAACAGACCGAGCAAGTGAAATATGAAGATGCAGCTGTAGCTACTCTTTACTACAGAACAGAGAGAGAACTCATAAACGTGTGTCCAGGACTCTGCGCTGCAGTGCCGAGCTGTGGCCACCAGGTGGGGACAAACCGCCAGAGAGCGAGTACGCTGCAGTGATAGGCAGGAAATATTTCACCATAAAAATGGGGCTCGATGTGTTTGGTGGTGAGCGCTGATGCATTTCAGTCTCTGATGCTCAGCCGTGATCTGATACTCGCCTCGCTGTCTGCGCCGCGCTCTGTGGGCGAGCAGAGGAGCCGGGAAACGTGGGCACACGAACCCGGTGAAAATAGGAAAAAATGAGAATATATAAGAGCGAGCTGCCTTTGATGAGGAGACGAGTGCAGAGGAAGAGTGATCACGTCTTCTCTGCACACGGCAAAGTTTCAGCCTCCTCAGTTACAGTTCTTCTTCTTTTATCCGACGTTTCTGTTGTTGTGATAAAAATGTTCAGCAGCTCCTTCAGTTTCCTTTTCTTCCTCTTCCACAGCTCCATCAGGAAACTGTCAACAGAGCAGCACCTGAAATCCTGCTCAGCCTCATTAGCACGATAACAAAAGCTCCGTCTCACTCACAGGTGAAGAAAAATAATAATGTTGTCACCTGTCGGTACGGAAGCCTATTTATGCCACAGAAAGCTTTAAAATATATCTTTATGTAAAAAGGTTTGGATTTTAAAAAGTGAGATTACAGAAACTATTTTACTTTTTCCAACATAAACTCAGATTAAATCCGGTTAAATTAAGAACTTTTTATTCTGAGTTTGTGGTTTTAAAAGCTGATCTGAGGGCAACAGAAACCAACAGCTTCAGTGTTTTAATATGAAACTTAACATCAATATAAGTCCACGCCTCAGACAAACCCACTGTGGATCTGTCACACGCCTCAGACAAACCCACTGT